AGAAGAAGAAGAAGAAGAAGAAGAAGAAGAAGAAGAAGAAGAAGAAGAAGAAGAAGAAGAAGAAGAAGAAGATGATAATAATAATGGCAGAAGAGGAAAAAAGAAAGGTTTGAAAATTCTAAAGTATATTAAAGCACACACACACAAAAGCAAGAAAACAGATGAGAGGGAGGGGGGCACAGAGACCTGAGGGGGGACAGAGATGGGGGCAGTGACTCAGAGAGAGAGGGACAGAGATCCAGAGAGAGAGGCGACAAAGATGGGGGGAGGACAGAGACCTGGAGAGATGGGGGACAGACACACACAGAGACCCAGAGAGAGAGGGACAGAGACCCAGAGAGAGAGAGAAAGACAGAGACCTAAAGAGAGAGGAGACAGAGAGACAGGGGGGACATAGACCCAGAGAGAGAGAGGAGGACAGAGACCCAGAGGGAGAGAGAGGGGGACAGAGACCCAGATAAAGAGGGGGACAGAGACCCAGAGAGAGGGGGACAGAGAGAGAGAGATGGATGACTCGAAGAGGAAGAGGGTGAGCCATGAAGAGACACAGGGTTGAGGCCAGATACTGAGACAGTCCCAAAGATCTGAAAAGAAAACACAAAGATGAAAGAACTTGCAAAAACAAACAAATAAAAAACCCCACAAGAGACAAAACGGCAAACAGGAGCAAAACAGGGGCTGAGAAGGTGGAAAGCGCTTGAAGCAAATTTAATCTGAAAGAAATTTAAAAGTAGAAAATTAAATCATGGTGCTGGCGAGAGATGCAAAGGTAGGCGAGAGATGCTAGGCCAGGGACACCTGGGGGCAGCTCGGGGCAGTGGGAGGAGGGGGCCTGACCTCAACAGACCCCTCCCCATGCCCCCAGAGCCCTGCAAGGAGGGAGTGGCGCTGGGTACTGGGTGGGGGGGTGCTCTGGGGGTGGAGGTGGGGGGCGGCAGGAGGAGCGATTGCTAAGGCCGGGCTGGGCGCCTCACCACCCGGGAATGTGCCCGGGGGACCAGTGGGTGGTTATAACCCAGGCCCGGTGCCCGGAGCCCAGGAAGAGGCGGCAGCAGCAGGACCGGGCAAGCCCGTGAGGTCGAGGTCGACGGAGGAGCTGGGAGCAGGCTCCCCACCCTTTATCTGGGGCCGCGGCAGGTGAGGCCTGGGGGCGCTCCGCGCGCTGGGGAAGTAGGGACACGTCTGCGCCCTGCTGCTGGTTCCCTGTGTTGCCATCGGTCTCCTGGTCCCTGACAGATCGCTTCTCTGGCCTCTCACTTCTTTCCCTCATGGAAGCATGCTGGACCTCTAGTTTCTGGGTGCGTGAGGGTGGAAATGTGGGGAACAGAAAAAGGGGGTGTGGGCTGAGGGTCCCAGCATCACCAGAGCTTCTCTTCACCCTAGGTGGTGTAGTTGCCATGGCTACAGTGGGATTCTGCTGGACGTGGATGCTTGGAGCCCTCCTGGCAGTCCTGATTCTGGGGGTCACAGGTGGGTGGAACCTTGGCGCGCGCGCATGCACGCATATGAACATGCTGGCTAACTGCGCGCGATTGTGTGTGTTTGTTTGTGTGTGTGTGAAGGAGTCCCCAGTGGCGCAGTAGTTAAGAGCTGGGCTGCAAAGCTGGCACATACTCCCACCTCCCAGACACAATGCAGGGAGAGGAAGATGAGGCAGCCTGCTTCTGGAATGACCACAGCCTTGGAATCCCTTTGAGGCAATCCTATCATGCCCTAGACGGCTGAATAGCAGCCCTCCATAGTGTGTGGTTTGCATGAGACTAACTGAAAGGTTGCCAGTTTCAAACCATCCGTTGGTACTGCAGGAGAAAGGCCTGGCAACCCGCTTCTGAAAAAAAAGTCTAAACCCACCGCCACGGAGGCGATTGTGTCTCAGTGACCCTCCGTCGGTTTCCGAGGCTGCAAATCATTATGGGAAGTGACTGCCCGTCTTTCTCCCTTGGAGCTGCTGGTGCCAAGAAAACCCTGGGGAACGACTGGAGGTGGGGGGGGTGTCACTGAGCGTGGGAGAATGGATGACAGTGGTGTTCCTTGGTTTTGTATCTGCGACTGTGTCACGGGGCGTCTCTGTGTGAGTGTGTAAGCCTGAAGTGGTTATGTTGGCGATGTCTGTGCATGGGCCCTGTAACTGTGTGTCCGTTTTATCAAAACAACCTGAAGGTAGTTGTGCTGGTAATTAGGTGTGTGTGACTAAGCATAACCCTATGACTGTGTGAGGGACCTCTGGTGGCTTAGTGGAAAGGAGTTGTGCTGTCAGTCCTAAGGCAAGTGGTTCGAATCCATCAGCTGCTCCAAGGGACAAGGATGGGCAATTTCTTCTCATGAGATAAACAGCCTCTGAAAACCCTCTCAGGGGATCAACTAGTTCTGACTTGACGGTGCGTAACAACACGAGTGTGTATGTGAGCAATTGAAGGTGGTTGTGTTCGTAATTGTGTGTGTGTAGCTATACATAACCCTCTGTGTGTGTGGGTGTGTGTGTTGTTACTTCCCATGTCAAGTCCATGGCTGACCCTTGGGGCCCTATCTGTGACTTCTGTGACTGTGTACGTACGTGGCTATGGGCACATTTAAGATTATATGGACTCCAGGGAGCTCTGGTGGTCTAGTGGCAAGAAGCTGAGCTGCAATCCCGAAGGCGAGCAGTTTGAATCCACCAGATGCTCCGCTGGAGAAGGAGGGGCAGTCTCTCCTCCTGTGCCATTTGGATCTGACTCGATCACTCATACACACACACACACACACACACACACACACACACACACACACACACACACACACACACATTATGTTATATATTAACAATCAGTTAAGTGCTTGACTATCAACCAAAACATTGGTAGTTTGAACCCACCAGAGGGACCCTGGAAGAAAGCCCTGGTGTCTACTTCTGATGGGTCCCAGCCTTGGAAAACCAGCAGGGCCATTCCATGCCACACATACTGGCCCCAGTTAGGGACCTACAGGGCGGCGTCCATGGCGCTGTCTTGGTCGCTACAGTTGCCTGTCTGACTCCATAACATTGCAGGTGCCTCAGGTCCTCCATCAGGAATGAGACAAAGTGGCCGTCACTATGGAAATGTGTGAGGAGGTGCTATCTGTGACCGAGAGACTGCAGGATAAGTTCAGCTAGAGAAAGGCCCTGGCAGTCTGCTCCCGCACAGATGGCACCGTTGAAGACCTGGGGGGGCCAGTCCCTTTCTGTCACCTGGGACTCAGAACGGAGCAGCTAACAACAACAACAACAACACAGTTGTATAAGGAGCCCTGTGGTTTAATGGTTTAAATGGTGAGCTGCTAACCAGAAGGTCAGTGGCTCAAACCTCCTCAGTGGCTTTAGGGCAGGAAAAAACCCTGCTCCCATCAAGATTGCTGTTGTTGTTAAGTGCCGTCGTGGGGAGTATGATTCCAGCTGACCCTATAAACAGCCGCCCTGAACCCTGCCCTATCCTGCGCCATCCTCATCATTTCTGACACACCCCAGCCTACTGCTGCGCTCACCGTGTCACTCCAGCTCGTTGGACGTCTTCCTCTAAAGATTGTACCCTAGAAATCCCCACGGGGAAGTCATGCTCTGTTACAGGATGAGTTAGAAGTGACTTGCCAGCGCCTAGCGATGGCAGCATAGCTGTGATAAAGAGCATTGGTGGCACAAGGGTTTAGCACTTGGCTAGTAACCAAAAGGTTGGTGCTTCAAATCCACGCAGTAGCTCCAAGGGAGACTGACTTGGCAATCGGTTCACTACAGATGACGATCTAGAAAACTCTAAGGGCAGGGTCGCTGTGGGACTGGACCAGCAGGAGGACACGCACCAGCCATCGCTGTGCTCGTGTAACGGCCGGAGGGGAGGCTCTGTGCACAGGGGGGGCCGTGTGTGGGTCTGTGGCATCCGCGTGGCGTCTCGAGGATGCCACTGTGCGTGTGACTTCGCGGCTGTTGTGTCAGGGGGTCTGTCCCCGCCCTGTGGAATCCAGCGTCTGTTGCATTGAGAATGTGGCCGTGAGACAGTGCGGCCAGGTCACTCGACGAGCCGCTTGGTGGTGGACACGGTTAAGTGATCAATTTACTAGTGGGACGATTGGTGGCCTGAAGGGAAAACCCTGCGGAGCGGTTGTGCTCTGCACACACAGCCTGCTGCGAGCTGGAGTTGCCACGGGCCACCAGGTCACGTACAGTGGAACCACCACCCTTGAACTGGCTCTATCTCACGAGGATCCTCTGCTGGGTTTCTGAGGCGGAGACCACCCCCTCTCTCTCCCTCTGAGTGGATTCGAACTGCCAACCTTTTGATTTAGCAGGCCAACCCTCAATAGGTTGGGCCACCAGGGCTCTTTGACACACTGCACATGGATCCCCAAGTGTCCGCTAAATGCAGTCTTGTGGCAGTGTGACCAGAAACACTTTTTTAAATTTTATTATTATTTTTTGCATGTCCTGGCAAATCAGATCTGACCGGTACAAGAGAAGATTGTCCCTCTTTTACCAGCAGAGTATCTGGTGGATTCGAACCACATAACTCTGGGATTGCATTGCAGCTTCTTGCTGACCAGAAATACTTTTCTTTCTCTCTCTTTGTGTGTGTGTCTCCACATATGTATGCATTATGAGCATGTGAGTACATATGTGAGGTCATTTAAGACTCTCTGTCTCTCTGATGAGCCCTGATGGCGTCATGGTAAATGTATCGGCTGTTTACTGAGAGGTCATCAGTTTGAATCTCCACAGGAGGAAGTGGGGGAGAGTCCCCTCCCATAAAATTTTACTGCTTTCGAGACTGGAGGGCCGTGGCTTTGGCTGGAGTATCCACAGTGGTGGGAGAGTGTGTATCCGGGGAGACCTTGAACTTGAACTGTAAATGAAGCTGTCCAGTGGACAACATGGACCTCTTTCCTGTGTAAGGACATGGGGTTTATCTATGACGGTGGCTCTGTGTGTGTGTGTGTGTGTGTGTGTGTTCCTTGGAGAGTACTTGTGACTGAAGGCTTTGTGTGAGAGGAGATTGTCAAGGTTCGTGGTCAAGACTAGGAGTCATCAGACGAACTTGGAGGAAGGGAGGGTGACACGTCACCAAGTAAAGTGGCTGCTGGAGGTGGTGACAGAAGGAATCAGGAATCAGGTGGCATATTTGTGTCTGAGAATTCAGAGAAACCCTTCCTGGTCTCTCCTCTTGCCACACAAGCCCCCAAAATACCGCTGCTATAATTCGTTTCCATCGAGTTGGAATCAACTCCTATCTGATGCTCTGTTGGGTTTTTGAGTCTGTAAATCTCATGGGAGGAGATGGCCCATCTTCTTCCCACTGGTGGATTTGAACCATCAACAAGGTGTGGCCTGGGTTAGCCGCACTAATCCCTACTAACTATGTCACCAGGGCTGAACTGTTTTACTGTTTTGTGCACACAGACACGCACACAGACACGCACACACCCTCACACCGTAACCCTGACTCCACCCCCGGGCTCCTGCCTTCACCCCTTTTTCTCAACTACACCCCACAGTCAAACTTTATCTCCACTCAGGAATCTCCTTCTTGGGCTGTGCCTCCCTCTCAGGTCCCTTCTTTACGACTAGCCCCCTTTGGGGCAGACCCCACCCACACCCCAGGATTGCTGGCCAGCTAACAGAGCCCAGCCCCCACCTCCCTTTCCACACGACACAAATTGTATTGCTGTGTGTCAAATCTGTAAATTCAGACTCATATTGAGCACAAGTGACAGAACAGAATGTCCCCCCCTAGGGTTTTCTAGGTTGTACTGTAGCTCTGGTAGCATAGTGGGTAGGGAGTGGCTCTGCCATCCCAAAGGTATGTGGTTCGAATCTCCTCCTGTGCAACCCGCTGTTATTGTTACGTACCATCATGTCAGAAGCGACCCATAGATGACCCTCTGGGTAGGTTTTCAGCAGCAGTTAATTGCACAGGAGGAGATTGCCCATCCTCCCTTGGAGCAGCTGGTGGATTTGAACCATGCACCTTCGGGATTGTAGCATGCAGTTTCTTACCACTAGGCCACCGGAGCTACCAACACTCCTATGCAACTTACAGGCTCTTATAAACCCCACTGGAGGGTCAGCTATGAGTTGGTTCCATCTTGACACTATGCGATGAGAGCTGCGCGGGTCTTCAGTTCAATCTTAGAAATACCACAGGGCAGTTCTAATCTGTTCCATAGGGTCTCTGTTCTGTGGGGTCCGAATTAACTCAACAGCAATGCGTTTGTAATCTTTATGGGAGCAGAGAAGAAACAGACCAGGCCTTTTCCCCTTGAAACTCCTGAGTGGGTGCAAATTACCAGCCTTTTGACTAGCAGCCAAGCACTGTCACCAGAGCTTGACCTAAAGCTGTCATGTGTCCTCGAGTCAATGTCTACTCATAGCGACATTATATAGCAAAGCAGAACTGCTCCTTGCACTGAAATCCTACAGCGGGGCAGGTTGGAAGGTCTCATCTTCTGGGTTTGAACCAATGACCTTCTGTTTAGCTGCTGAGTATTTAACTATTGCATCACCTTCTTACACAATTAGGGCTTGTTGTTTGATAGGCTACCACGGGGTGGCCCACGACCCTGCCCCTTCTCAGGCTCCGCCCTGGCCTCATTCTGCAGCCTGACCTTGTTTTCTAAATCCTGGCACCACTCCTAAACGTTCAAGCTCATCTTCAGACTCCACCACTGGGGTTACTCACGGCTCCTGAGTCCTATCTCAAAACCAGAGTCCCTGAGGTCATACACGAGGCTGAGTGTTGGAATGCTAATGTACAGGCCGGCAGTTCGAGCCGGCTACTGCCAGGGAGAAAGATGAGACAATCTCCTCTCCTTTAGAGGTAACCGGCTCGCGGGTGCCCATGAGTCAGAATTGAGTACGTGAAAGTGAGTTTTGGGGCAAACCAAAAGCTTGGCAGTCTGACTCCACTCAGAAGTGCTTTGGAAGGAAGGAATCAATTCACCTTCACTTTTAGGAGCATTCTGACTGCTTTTCTTCCAAGGTATCAAGATACCTTGGCAACCAGACGTCACCTGAGCGTTAGGTGCTCTAAGACATCCTTCAAGTCCAGACAAAATTCACTTTGAACACCTGAAACTCAGGCTCTGTGCCCTTGAGTGTAAACCTCAATCTGAGAGTCTTCTCCACGCTTCACCTCCCTAGCCTTGACCCCGCCCCTAAAGCCTTGGACACGCCCCTCGGTAGGGCAGCGCAGGCACTTAAGACCCACCCCCTGTCCCAGGTCACGCCCCCTTAACTAAAGCCCCGCCCTGGCTCCGCCTCTGACATCTAAGCCCCTCCCCGCCTGTTATGTTCTATGTTAAAATATATGTGAGAGTTTACATAACATATGGGCTTTACAGTCATATACATTTTCTTTTATAACAGTAATTACAGTTTCATTGACTCATTCATACACAATTGCTTTTATAACACCAATTACCATTGATTAATGTAATTAATTGCAATGGGCTCTATGAGGAGAAATGTGGGGTCAAGATTGGTGGAAGATCGATTAACAATCTGCGTTAGGCAGATGACACGACCCCGACTGCTGAAACTGAGGAGGACTTGAAGCGCTTACTGCAGAGGGTCAAGGACTGCAGCCTTCAGTATGGACTGAGGCTCAATATCAAGAAGACAAAGATTCTCACCACTGAGCCAATTGGCAGCATCAGGATGGATGGTGAAGAGATTGAGATTGTTCACAGCTTTGGTTTGCTTGGCTCCACAGTCAACACTCTTGGCACCAGTAGCCAGGAAATTAAAAGACGTATCAGCATGGAAAAGTAGGCTGTTAGGGACCTCTCCAAAGTACTGAAGATCAGTGGTGTCTCTCTGGAGACTAAGGTACGTCTGATACAGGCCATCATCTTTGCTATCATTTGTTATGCATCAGAGAGTTGTAATGACTAAGGAGAATAGAAGGAGAATTGATGCCTTTGAGCTGTGGTGCTGGAGAAGAGTATTGAGGGCACCATGAACTGTCAAGAAAACAAACAGATTCAACTTGGAAAGGGTTAAACTGGGCTGCTCCTTGAAGGCAAGGATTCTGAGGCTCCGTCTAACATACTTCGGATATGTTGTAAGGAGGGACCGGTCCTTGTAGAGGGACATCATGCTTGGGAGGGTGGAGGGACAGCACAGGAGGGGAAGGCCCTCTATGAGGTGGATTGATTCAGTGACTGGGGTAATCGGGATGGGTGTATCGGAGATGGTGCAATTGGCACAGGACAGAGCAGAGTTTAGGGCTGTAGTACATAGGGTCGCTATGAGCCGCAAAGGACTCGACGGCACATAACAACAACAACAACAATCAACTATTGCGATATATATTATATCTTATATAATATATATGTGTATATTATGTGTATATATTATATGTGTATGTTATATATATATGTATATATGTATATATATTACCACCACCCCACTTATCTATTAATTATTTTTTTTTTGCTACTTCTTGTTGTTATAGGCCATTGAGGCACTTAGGACTCATAAGAAGCCCTGTGAACAGCAGAGTTGAACTCTGCCCTGTCCTGTGCCGTTCTCACCATCTCTAATATGCTCAAGACTACTGTTACAGTCAGTGTCCATCCGTCTTGTTGAGGGTCTTCTGCTCTTTCTCTGACCCTCCACCTTTCCCAGCATTACACCTTTTCCAAGGACCGGTCCCTCCTGACCACATGTTCAAAGGATGCGAGAGGAAGTTTCTCCATCCTTGCCTCTAAGAAGCACCCTGGTTGCACTTCTCCTGAGACTGACTTGTTTGTTCTTTTGGCACAGTCTCAGCCTGTGGGTCGTTTGTTTATTTGAGTTGAGTCAGAGTTTAAACTCATAGACTCGTTGTTGTTGTTAAGTGCCGTCGAGTCGTAGGACATTCATAGTGACCCTAGGAACGGAAGTCCACAACACTTGAGTGACTTTCATCCTCCCTCCAGGTTCATAGAGTTTCCGGAGACAAGCTATTACAGAATTGGATGCCACTCCTGCTTCCAAGCTTGTTTGAATCGAGGAGCGCCACCAAACACTGTCCGCCGTGGGTAACTATTCTCGCATTTGACACATGAGTGTCACAGTGTTCAGCTTCACAGCGACCACAAGTTACCTCTGTATGGCAAGTGGACACACCAGGGCTATACAACCTAGAAGAATGTTTGACCAAAAAAAAATGAAAAACAGGCCTGAGGGTCATGGATTAGAAGTCACCCACCTTTGGTTTGGTAGCATCTCTCCACTAGGCCAACTGATCTCTGTTGGTGTTATTGTTGTTAAGTGCCATCGAGTCGTAGGCAACTCATAGCGACCCGATGAAAGAAAGTCCTCAACATTTGAGTGACTTGTATCCTTTCTCCAGGTTCTCTTGGTCTGTCCACTTGCTGTACAGAGGTAACTCATGGTGGCTGTGAAGCTGAACACTGTGACACTGATGAGTCAAATGCGGTCATGGTCACCCATGGTGGACAGTGTTTGGTGGAGCTCCCCGATTAAAACAAGCTTGGAAGCAGGAGTGGCATCCACTTGCATAAACCTATAAACCATAGAGTCATTATCCTTGGTTAATGTGGCTAATTTATTACAATGTCCCTCCCGCCCCAGTGCCTGTTCTTGCCAATGAAGAACCTTCCTGTGACAATCCGTCTTCCAATCCCTCTGGGAATCCCTCCGGGAATCCCCGGGAGCTTGAAGCTGGAGCCGGTGAGGACATGCGGACCGGCACTGACGACAGGTCCGATGACAGCAGCAGCCGTATCATCAACGGGTCCGAGTGTGCCATGCACTCCCAGAAGTGGCAGGCGGCGCTGATGATGTCACCCAGCCAGCTCTACTGCGGGGCCGTGCTGGTGGCTCCACAGTGGCTGCTGACCGCTGCTCACTGCAGGAAGCCGTGAGTGGGGACTGAGTCCAGGGCTGGGCGGGGGGCGCGGACGGGAGGGCCTGGTGTGCATGGACCAAGAGGGAGCTAGTCTGAGAGGCAGAGTTAGGAATAGCGTTAAAGGTGGGCTTGAGTTTCAGTTGGAGTGATCTGGAGTCAGAAAGATGGGAGTTAAGGAGCGTTCAGTCTAGAGAGGGGCTGATTCTAAAATTGGAGATATTGGAGATGGGCTAATCCAGGTGGAGACTAGAATTGGAGAGGGATAAAGATATGCTTAGGGACTGAATAAAGGTCTGGTGGCCTGTGCTCTGATGGCTTCTTGTTGTTGTTATATGCCATCGAGTCACCTGTGACTCATAGCAACCCCATGCACAATAGCTCCGAACCCTGCCCAATCCTGAGCCAATCTCACTGACTCCAACACACCTACCCTCCACTGCCCTAGTTACTGCGTCAATCCCTTTCATTCAGGGTCTTCCTCTTTTGTGCTGTCCCTCCAGCCTTCCAAGCATGATGTCCTTCTCCAAGGACTGGTCCCTCCTGGCCATATGCCCAAAGTATGTGAGACAAAGCCTCAAAGTCCTTGCCTCCAAGGAGAAACTTGGTTTCACACTCTCCAAGACAAATTTGTTTGTTTTCTTGGTGATCCAAAGGCACTCAGTTCAAACCCAGAGGGAGAAAGGCGAACTATCTCCTCTCACTAGAGGGTCAGCTATGAATCGGTTCCAACTGGACAGTGCATAATAACAACAATGAGGATAAATGTGAGATTCAGAATGGGCTTGGAGTCACAGGTAATGATGAACTTGAGTAGTGCTGGAGCGTCCAGTAAGCAAAGTAAATAAGGCCTTATGTGTACTTACTAGTATTAACCTCTAGTGAGAAAGTGCCCGTTTCCCCCATCACATCTAAGATCTGCTTCCAGGTATAGCGGGAATCTTAATCTCTCCAAATCTCATAGCACGCTCCTACAGAATCAAATACCCACTGTGTGTTCAGGGGTTGTAAATCTTTACAGGAGGAAATTGCCCATCTTCCTCTTACAGAGAACTGGATTCAAACGGCTGACTTTTCGCTTCAAAACTGTTGCGGACTGAGGGTTAAGTATATGAATAAGTATTAAGAAGGAGACAGAACACCAAGAATGTAGGAGAAAACAGATAAAGCAGGAGACAAATAAGTCTCGAACAACTGAAGCCAACTGAAGTGCTGACCTTAGTTAGCTTCCCTGTGTCTTTATTGAAAATTGCCAGGGAGCAAATCACCAAGAGAATTCAATGCAAATGAAGCTAAGCTCTTTCTATTGAAAACCTTATGCTTGACTCAGGAGGGAGGGGTCAGCAAATACAATACTAGAATCCTGTAAAGGCTTAAGGATTGCCTTAGTGTCTACCCCTGTGAACATTTAAAGATTGTCTTAGTGCTTCAGGGTGAATTCCAGCTTGTATCCGTGCCTCCCTTGTAACCTGAAGTAGCATTCGGTTTATTACAAATATTTAGTATGAAATTTGGCTTCCCATACAAAACCCTTATGTTGCGATTCTCGCCAGGGTTGAGAATCAGAGCCTCTTTTCAAATCCATAAATGCTGGAGGGGCAGAGTCGCCAATGCGCCAGAGCAAGCACCGCACCAGTTTCCACGTTGTTGTCTGCAGTTTGAATTCAACAGCATTTCCTCAGGAGGAATAATAGGCAATCTCTTCCCATGCAATTCATACTCTCTCAAAACCCACTGCAGAATCAGCTATAAGGGGTTCCCCCCAGACAGGTCTAAGTTGAGGGTTGAGTGAACCACAGATGTGGTAGAAAACATGTGAGCCTGTTCCTTGTAGGTGAGTAAACCCATGTTTCCCTACACTGCGGGGCCATTCACCCCTGGGCTTGAGGACCATTATTATGCACTGTCCAATCAATCCCAACTCTTAGTGGCACTGCAGAGCAGCGTGGAACCACCTGGTAGACCTTCCAAGGTTGTAAATCTTTATAGAAGCAGACCATTGCATCTTTCTCCCAAGGACCAGCTGGTGACTTTGAAACACTGACCTGTCAGTCCGCAGTTGAGCAGTTAACCACTGCACCACCAGGGCTCCTTTAACTTAGAGATGGTTCAAGTGAAGTTCAGGAGTGCAAAGGTTGATAGTTTAGGAATCAGGGAAAGAGGAACCGTGGGGTTAGAGTTGGAGATGGGATGGATTTAGGGTCGTGAAGAGGAGATAGAGATAGAGATAGATAGATAGATAGATAGATAGATAGATAGATAGATAGATAGATAGATAGATGTAGAGATAAAAAGAGGTAGAGGTAGAGATAGATATGGGGATAGGGATAGAGATAGAGATAGAGGTAGAGGTAGAGGTAGAGGTGGAGGTGGGGATGGGGATGGGGATAGAGATAGAGATAGAGGTAGAGGTAGGGATGGGGATGGGGATGGGGATGTGGACAGAGATAGAGATGATAGAGATAGAGACAGAGATAGAGAGAGGTAGAGGTAGAGATAGATATGGGGATAGAGATAAAGATAGAGATAGAGATAGAGATAGAGGTAGAGGTGGGGATGGGGATAGATATAGAGACAGAGACAGAGATAGAGATAGAGAGAGGTAGAGGTAGAGATAGAGTTGGGAATAGGGATAGAGGTAGAGGTAGAGGGAGGGAGGGAAGAAGGGAGGGAGAGAGAGAGATTGATGGTTTGGGAAATGAAGATGGGACTGAGGTTGGCTGTAGAATTGGTAGTGGAGATATAGATGAGAATGGTGGTCTATAACATAGAGTTGACAATGTAATTAAATGTGGAATTATGGAGAAGATTGAGATAGTTTGGTTTGAGGTTGAAGATGGCTGGGTTTATGGTGAGGACTGTGTACATTGATCATTTAAGGTCAGGAACTAATTAAGGCTTAAGTTAGAGTTGGCAGTGGGGTCGGGGTAAAGATTGGGGTGGGGTAGGCATGTTGTCGGGAATAAAGATACAGCAGAGAACAGCGCTGGAGCTGGGTTTGAGGATGGGGTAGATGGTCCCGGAGTCACTTTTGGGGCCAGTGTTGTCGTTTGGTAGGTGATGACGCGAACCATCTTCTTCAGGGTTTTCAGAATCCTCCTTGGTCGACATACCCTGTCCCCCGCCTTTGAATCAGGGCAGCAGAAGCTCCGCGGGGTCAAATCCATCACGCACCCTGGCTACTCCCACCCTGGCCACTCCAACGACCTCATGCTTATCAAGATGAACAGAAAAATCCAAGATAATCAGAACATCAAGCCCATCAACATTTCCTCCCGTTGCCCGTCCGCAGGGACCACTTGCTTGGTCTCTGGCTGGGGGACAACCAGCAGCCCGCAGGGTGAGTGACCAGGTTCTTTTTGATGCCTACACTCCCCTCCCCGGGTCTCTCCACCCCTCGATATGGTCCTGAGCTGTGTTTCTCTGTTGAACAGTGAACTTCCCCAAGGCCCTGCAGTGCTTAAACATCACAGTGGTAAGCAGAGAGGAGTGCCGGAACGCCTACCCGGGCCAGATAGATAAAACCATGTTCTGCGCCGGAGACAAGGCGGGCAGAGACTCCTGCCAGGTGAGAATTCCAGATTTCTCCATTCACTTGACACAGTTAACCATCACCAAACGCTGACTCATCGTCCCTCTCAGACAGCGTAGGACTGACCCATTGTGTCTCTAAGGCTGGGAATTTTTATAGAAATAGACACACTAGGGAGCTCTGGTGGCCTAGTGGTAAGGAGCTGCAACTACAATCCCAGAGGCGCACAGTTCAAACCCACCAGATGCTCTGCGGGGGAAGGAGGGACAATCTCCTCCTGTACCAGTCAGATCTGATTTGATGGTACACTCAAACAAAAATAATAACATAGAAATAGACACACTTACCTTTCCTTTGTAGAGTGGCTGGGGGATTTGAACCAACAACCTTTTGTTAGCAGCTAAGTAGGTAACCACAGTGCTGCTAGGGCTCTTTCTATGGTGCCATTGTCTCAGTCATGGCGGTGTGCATCACAGAGTTCATTCTGCCTCACAGTGTTCCTTTAGGACAGAAAGAAATTCTCCATTGGCTTTCCAAAGCTGGAAGTCTTTGTAAAAGCAGACAAGTCACCAACCTTTCAGTTAAGCAGCGTAATGCCTAATTCATTGTTCATCGGGGTTTCTAAGGTCAATGCTAAGTGTCAATGATGAAACGGATCTGTGCTGTTTGGGAGATCCAGCCACTGGGACCCTTTCCCACTCAT